CGGCTGCGCTCGACTCCGAACGCTCTGACGGCGACGCCCACCCGTTGGCCGCGACCACAAAGAAGGTCGTCATGGTCACGTTCACGAACGAGCATCCGTTCAACCTGCGCAAGCGGGGCCCCGAGCCGTGCTGCGATGAGTGCGCGAAGTTCAAGCCGAATGCGCTCACGTCGGCCACCAACACGGTGCTCTTGGCTGGGACGTACCAGTGTACGTTCTGCCGCGACTGGACGTACTACAAACTCCACCGCAAGCACAAGCGCACCCGCGCCGACGCCCGCCTTGACGCGCTCTCGGTTTGAGCTTTTTGTTTTTGGATATTTGCAGAATAGTGGAGCAGCGTATGTAGTAATTTCTCTCGTGAAATTTAACTGCTGCCATGTGACTGCTATCGTAGCGCATCGCTTGCACCGTTCTATGACAATCGCGTCGGCTCTCGAATCTGAGGACGCGTCGCAGCAACCTCTGATCCAGCGCATTAAACTCGGCGCCATCAACGACGGAACCTCGAGATCCGAGTTTCGGCAGCGAATATTGTTGTAGTATTCGATCGTACTAGTAACGATTTAGAAGAGATGGGTCTGGTACTGTAGATTGCTCAGCACTCAGCACGGTTCATGTCGCAAGTGTCGTGCCAACGACGATATTTTGGTAGACATATGTCTCTCTCTGTAGCCAAACAACATTTTCGTCATTTTGCTTGGTGCTCGAGCTTTTCCCAACACGACGTGGTACTTCACAAGCGTATACGCTCCACTATCATGACCCTGAACTTGGAGATTAGGGGTAGGTTTCAACTGTAAGACAACTTGTACTTAGCAAAGTTAGTTTAGTTTTTCCACGTAAGTGAAATCCCACGCTGGCGAAAGTAGCGCAAAATGTAGCGGTAGGCGCCAATGGGAAAGCCGATCGCGAGGCCCGACACAATGTAAAAGAGGTAGTCGACCTCCTGGAGGGATGAGTTGAGGTTCATGCCGAACGCGCCGACGACAAATGTTGGCACCGTGATGAGCGTCGTCCAGAGCGTCAGCGTCAGGTTGAGCGTCATGAGGTAGTTGCGCTTGGCGTCGAGCTTGAGCATCGCAATGTTTTTCGTGTTGAGCATGTTTTCCAGCATGAGCGCCACGCGCGTTTGCGTATCGTAAATATCCTAGTCGGATAAATCATTATTTGGCATTTTTTCATACATTTTCACTACGTAAAAGGTTTACCTCCAAGTAGACTTCCAGAAGCGACTCGAGCTCTTCCGAATCAAAGCTAAAGAGGTCGTACACAAGCGCCGGGTCGTCGTGCAGCTAGTTGGTTCATGTAAACCCATACTATGGCATAAAATGTATACCTTGGTCAAGTGCATCATGCGCAAATCTTCTTCATTTTCGAGAATGTCCACAAACGCCTTGCGGGTGCCCGTGACCTGGACCAGAGAATATTGTTGGTCCGTAGTCGTAGCATATTTGAGTTGATAATACGCGCGAATTGAGTTCGTCGAGCGTGTTCTTCATTGAACGAAGCGTCTCGAGCTCGCCGGCGAGCGTCGCGTCTTGGCTCATCTTGTCGATGGCCGCTTGGGCTTGCGGCAAGACCCGCGCAGAGTCCTTCTCGAGGATCCTACAGTCAGCAACAGTATGAAAATCTCGTTTCGAGCAGCACTCTGTACGTGCAAATGGTCAAAAGCAGCGATTCCAGCGCCCTACAAGCCATTAGCCATTTCCTAGGTATAGAAAAGGGCTAGGCAGCACGAACGTAAACTCAAACGGGTGGTCCTGCGAATCAAATTCTTTGAAATTGGACTCAAGCAGAGGAATGACGCCCTCGGCGCCTTCTTGGAGGAAGATGACGCAGTTGTTTTGCATAATGATGGCGCGGATCGGGTCTAAGGAACATGGTAAGTGGCGTTCGTTTAGACGCCCGATACATTCCTACCGGCGTTGACGAGGATCGCGCCGCGCCGCACCGTGATCGACGGCTTGCTCGCAATCGCAAACGCATTGTCGAGCTTGCGAATGTCGCGCATGTGAATGTTCTACGCCAAATGGGCTAATTCAACGCCACTATTTGAGCTCATCTTTGTACCGGAATGTCGACCACACCCTTGTTACTCCGACTGCTCGGACGCGCTTTCACGTGCGCGCGGTACTCTGGCGTGTCACTCTACGTCATCTCATCATACTGCACTAGACGACGTGGGATGACATACCCACGTGGACGCGGGCACGGCTGCTTTCCGCACCATCTTGAGTACATCATGGCGGCTAAAGTCTTCGTGCGTCATGCGGCCCGTCGGGTCAAACCGCAGCGTCTACACTACTGTCTCAACTGCTAATACCACATGTTTGTTTACCAGTCGCTTGCCAAAGAGCATGGGCGACGTGTCCGACGCCTTGTCCCGGCGCCGGCGAGCATCGTACACCGCGTCCTTCAACTTGGGCGACAATAGCGTATCGAGGAGCGCGCTGCCACTGCTATGCAAGAAGAGCGGGCACTGCAAGCTCGTGTAGTTGACCATCGGGTGCCACGTCGTCGCGTTGCGCGAGATGTCGCTCGCGCGCAGCTCGGTGCGCGTCGTCGTCCCAAGCAGCGTCACGTTTTCAATCGCAATCTTCTTGGACAATGTGTCCGCCCACATGCGTGTCACGTACGGCGAAAAGAGCATGTGGATGAGCCCCGTCGAGACGGCGCCAATGCCCTACGCGCCATGAGCACTGCGTCCGCAACGTCCTGTACCGTGAGGGCGCCGTAGATGGCCAGCTACGCAGAGTAAACAAGGTAAACGCGGCGAATCCAAGCGCGTGTACCTGGCTTGGCGTCGCGAGCGGAAAGTGGCCGAGCGTGTACGCCATTGGGATGCCCACGCACGTAATGGCGTTGGTCGCCGCCATGGCCCGCGTGATCGCCGTCACCCGAGCTGCGAGCGGCGCTTCGTACACGAGCGGCAATTGCTTGGGCGGCAATGGCTCGACCGAGCTCAAGGCGCGGACAGCGAGCCGCATGCATGGCCCGCCGAGCCGCACCGAGCCGCGTTGAAGCCCTCGCAGCATCATCGTCTTGTTCGAAAGTGCACTTTCGTAGACTTGGTGTTTGCATGCGATGGATTCGCGGCTTGTGATTGGTCCATGCCAGGGCCAGAACGACGTGGTTGATCCCAGCAGCGTCGCTTCCGCTGTCGACCGGCTTGCTCATGGAGAGACTCTCTTGATACAGTGGCTCGGCCTCGAATGGGTCTCGCGTTGCATGCGCACTGTGCTTGGTGCTCTCGAAACGGGGCCGACAATACGGCGATACTCCAACAACGCAGAATTCCCCGGCATTAGCGACTTATTGTGTCTAAAACGGGGTACAAGGTAGAAATGACAAGCTCACAGAGGTTGCTTTAGTCGTTAAAAAGAGGGAATATGTTGCCACGACGTGAACTGTGTTATAACATTGCTCTAACAACTGGTCCATTTAATTTAACGTTAGTTTAACGTGGTTTTTGACGTGGTCGCCATTGCGTGCTGTGGTCATGTTCGCTCGCACGTCGCGCTCGATGCTCAAGGCCCAGCTCAAGGCGCCGGCGAGAGCCTTCAGCAGCCGCGCGTCCAAGCCGTCGGCGTCGTCGTCCAAGCGCGAGTTCTCAGCCTTCCTCTTTGAGGCCCACGCCGCCTGCAAGGGCAAGCGCTGCCTCCAGATGGACGCGATCCCGCGCGCCGACAACTGCGGCGAAGACTCGTTCTTTATCTCGCAGGCGTACGTGGGCGTCGCCGACGGCGTCGGTGGCTGGAACGAGAACAACGTCGACCCGAGCCGCATCTCGCGCGCGCTCATGCGCAACGCGCTGACGCTGGCCGACGGATCGCGCTCGACGTCTGAGATCCTCGAGAAAGCGTACGCAATGGTCCTCGACGACGACCACGTCGAGGCCGGGTCGACGACCGCGTGCATTCTCAACATCAAGGAAGACCCCAAGACAGGCGCGCCGATTCTCGAGTACTCGAACTTGGGCGACTCTGGCTTTTGCATTGTCCGCAACGGCGCAGTCTGGTTCCGCAGCGCGTTCCAGTCAATTGGCCTCGCGCCGTACCAGCTCGCCAAGATCCCTCCGCGCTTCCGCGTCATGGGTGCCATGGAGAACATGCCAAGCGAGGTACGTGGGAGGGACACTGCGTCTCTGATGGCTGCGTCGTCCTTAGGCCAACACGGGCGAGATCGAGCTCCAGGACGGCGACCTCATTGTCCTCGCGACGGACGGTGTCTGGGACAACTTTGCGCGGGACCTCCAAGAAGTACCTGCCTTCTTCCCTGTACGCTGACGACTCTCCGCCGCTTCTTCAAACTCACGGTTCCGCGTAGCCGGTCGCGTCGTGGCGCCGGTACTGGCATGGGCGTATCCAGTCGCTCCTCGGCGTCCTCTCGGTGAAGGACCTCAAGGACGCAGCGACAAGCATCGTGCAAGCGTCGCTCGACCACAACCTCAAGCCCGACGACATCACGGTCATTGTGGCGCGCATCTCGATCAAGCCGACCGCGCGCTTGTAGGTAGACAATCCACTGTACATGAAACGCAAGACACTGTACACGACACGATTCTATGTTGGCGGTGACGAAGAGAGCTAATACACCGGACTACGCGTTGAAGCTCTCGCCACACCCGCACGTGCCCTTGGCGTTGGGGTTCTCAAATGTGAACTCGGCCGAGACGGGCGTGATCTACATGCGCGATGAGGCGCTGGTTCGCGATGACGGCCATGCTACCTTGTAGTCCATGGTGGTGCCCACGATGTGGAAGAGCGCCTTGGGCTCGACGAATACCCGGACGCCTATGATGCGTGAGTCGTCATCGTCGTCATCGACGAAAACCATACCCTTGTCGTTGACTTCTTCTTCAAATTTGATCTTCTCGGTCGCATAGTTCATCGTGTATGAGAGACCGCTGCAGCCGCCTAGAGCCATGGTGAGCTATGGGAGGCCATGAAGTGGCGGCGTACGGGTCCGGACGCCAATGCGCAGTCCGATCGCGTCCGGCTGGTTCTCGAGCAGCTCCTTGATGCGGTCCGCCGCTCCTTGTGTCTACGCCAGCGTGAGCTCCATGCACAGGATGACGCATGGCCTACGAGGATGATGGGCGCGGGGACCTCCCGGCGGACGCGCGGGGCCTTGACCTTGGGCAGGACGACCTTGGTGCTGAATCGGCGCAACATGATGAGATGAGGAAGGCAAAGGAACCCTGCTGGACACCACTGCTCGGATTTATGACCAATGGGACGCCGAGTTCGAAAACACCCAACTCTGGGCCTCGGCCCGGCCATGACACTGATTATGGTAGGATGGTACCGATCTCTAAGACCGTCGATAGACCATGCGCATGCAGTGATACCTCATAATTGAAGATAACACGCACAATGAAAGACCGCGAAAATGGATGCCACCCCAGCACCGAGGCAATGAGCCATCTCGAGTTGGGTGGAGCTATCCAAGGAAGAAAGGTCCGAACGACCTCGAAGGCATTTGACTTGATTTTTGTATGTTCTTTTTTTCTTGAACTTGGCGGTATTTCCACCAATCACAGCGATGGACCGAATTCGACCGAATTCTGTGCGATCTTCGGCGGGGGTGTAGACAGGTAGCAAAAAAGCGACGCGTCTCACGATTCCAGCGATTGCATCAAGAGCGACCATCGGAGACAACTTGTCTATCAGGTCATAGACAATTATCGAGTTGCCGCACGCTATCCATATCGGCCAGATCCACGATGTGCTCGTATCTGACGGCGCTTTGGGACGCACTTCCGCAGCAACGTCGGACAGGCTTCCGCTCCCATGGGTGTCATGCAGCCAACGGGCGTCATCCATCTTTATCACCTACCAACATACATCATCGAGCGGTAAGCTTTCTTCTCGTGTGCCGGTACGAGCCAGTGGACGCTTCTCCTTCTTGCAGCGAAGCATGCCGACGGTCGCTTCTACCAGCGTCGCAAAGGCGAGGTAGGACACGCCGACTTACTCGATCAAATGAAGACTTACTCGATCAATTGAAGAACGTCCGCGCAATGCTGGGGTGATCACCTTTGCGCTACCCTTTCCTCAGCTACACTGCGCTAATATCGGAAGCCGCGAGTGGGCACAAATGGTGTACGAGACCCACGTCCTGGGCCATGTAGTAGTGACAGGCAGCGCTCAACACCTATTGACGTCCTTCCGAATCACATACCTCGATCGACGTCAACGTCGGGGCCGACGCGCCATTCTTGGCCCTCTCGGCCAATGACAACGTGCCAGCCTACGAATTAGATACTAAATCATACCACCTCGTCGTTAATTCGTACTACATTGTATCGCTTGATGCATCGAGCGCGTCGGAAGCGTAAAACTGCGTCCAACTCCTGCGCCCAGCGCATTTTTTGTATGCGCCTCCTGGTACATGCATCAACGATGGCGTTGCGTGCACCTTTGCTCATCTTTGCAAGCGCTGCAGCCTGGGCTCCAAATCCTGGTTGCGTGTATTTAGTCGATTGCAGTGTATCCGGAAACGACCGGTTTTTCCGGATAGTTCATTCGGAGCTTGTTTGTGGTGGCCATCATGGAGAAGCTGCAGGAGCTGAGCTTGATCTCCAAGGTATGTTCGGAGCTCGAGAGTCACCTGGGCATGAGTGAGCGTACGCTGGCAGAGTTCATCATCGACCTCGCTCGCGGCTCCAAGGATGGCAAGACCTTCTACGCCGATCTCTCGGCCAACGGCGCCGAGTTCCCGATGACCTTTGCCTTGCACCTCTACCAGCTCGTCCACACGATGACCAAGAAGCCGGCAAAGAAGCCAATCTTGCCGACGAGCGACGCGCCGTTTCCAGGCCTCGCGCGGCCCAACTCGAAGCCCATCAACGACGAGACGCTCGACGTACAAGACATTGCTGGCCTTGGCGACGCCGACCGCGCGCCGCCCGCCTCGTCTCGCCGCGACAAGAGCCGGTCCCGGTCGCGCGATCGGTACCGCAAGCGTAGCCGCAGTCGCAGCCGCGACGATCGCCGTCGGGACCGCCGTCGGTCGCGCGAGCGCGAGCGCCCGGTCGAGCTCCACGAGATCTACAACGGTCGCGTCTCCAAGCTCATGGACTTTGGCATCTTTGTCGAGCTCGAAGGCGTGCGCGGGACGAAGGAAGGTCTTGTGCACGTGCGCAACATTAGCGACGCACGCATTACGCACCCCAAGGAAGCCGTCCGGCGCGGCGACCGCGTCAAGGTCAAGGCCATCTCGGTCACGGGCAAGCTCATGCTCTCGATGCGCGATGTCGACCAAAAGACAGGCCGCGACCTCATGCCCATGCGGGCCAACTCGGGCGTCGACAACCGGACCGACTCCAAGTCGTGGGTCAACCCGACCGCGCCCGGCATGCAAGAAATCGACCGCGACGAGTACGAAAACACGAGCCGCGCGCGCGCCGTCCAGCGCATGTCGTCGCCCGAGCGCTTTGAGGCGCGGCAGCTCATCAACGCCGGCGTGCTCTCGGTCTCCGAGTACCCGACGTTTGACGACGACCACGGCTTGCTCAACATGGAAGAGACGGAAGAGGAGTTTGAGGTCGAGCTCAACGAAGACGAGCCGACGTTCTTGCGCGGGCAGACGAAGGCGGCGCTCGAAATGTCGCCAGTCCGCATCGTCAAGAACCCGGACGGGTCGCTCTCGCGCGCGGCCATGCAGCAGTCGTCGCTCGCCAAGGAGCGGCGGGAGCTCCGCCAGACGCAGCAAAACGAGCTGCTCGACTCGATCCCAAAGGACCTCAACCGCCCTTGGGAGGACCCGATGCCCGAAGCCGGCGAGCGCCACTTTGCGACCGAGCTCCGCGGTATCAACATGGGCTCGTCGTTCGAGTTGCCCGAGTGGAAGAGCAAGGCGCAAGGCAAGAACCTCAGCTACGGCCACGTCTCGGCCAAGAGCATGATCGAGCAGCGCGAGAGTCTCCCAGTGTTCAAGCTCAAAGGCCAGCTCATGCAAGCCATCCGTGACAACCAGATTCTGGTTGTCATTGGCGAAACCGGCAGTGGCAAGACGACGCAGATGACGCAGTACATGGCCGAGATGGGGTTGACGTCGCGCGGGATGATCGGCTGCACGCAGCCGCGCCGTGTCGCTGCGTCGAGCGTCGCCAAGCGCGTCGCCGAAGAGTTTGGGTGCGCGCTCGGCCAAGAAGTCGGGTACGCCGTGCGCTTCGAAGACGTCACGTCACCCGAGACTGTCATCAAGTACATGACGGAAGGTATGCTCATGCGCGAGTACCTTGCCGACGCGACGCTCTCGCGCTACTCGGCGCTCATTCTCGACGAAGCCCACGAGCGTACGATCAACACGGACGTGCTCTTTGGCTTGCTCAAGGCGCTCGTCAAAAAGCGTCCGGAGCTCAAGATCATCGTGACGAGTGCGACCTTGGATGCGGAGAAGTTCTCGCACTACTTTTACGACTGCCCGATCTTTACGATTCCCGGCCGGACGTTCCCGGTTGAGATTTTGTACACAAAGGAGCCGGAAGCCGACTATTTGGACGCGGCGCTCATCACGGTCATGCAGATCCACCTCAGCGAACCCGAGGGCGACATCCTCGTCTTTCTCACCGGTCAAGAAGAGATTGACACGGCGTGCGAGGTGCTCTACCAGCGCATCAAGTCGCTCGGCGCCCTTGCGCCCGAGCTCATCATCCTCCCGGTCTACGGCGCGCTGCCGTCCGAGATGCAGACGCGCATTTTTGAGCCCGCGCCAAAGGGCTCGCGCAAGTGTGTGGTGGCGACCAACATTGCCGAGGCGTCGCTGACGATCGACGGTGTCTACTACGTCGTCGACCCTGGTTTCCAAAAGGAAAAGGCGTTCAACGCCAAGATTGGCATGGACTCGCTCATCGTCGTGCCGTGCTCGCAGGCGTCGGCGCGTCAGCGGGCTGGTCGCGCCGGCCGCACGGGCCCCGGCAAGTGCTATCGCCTCTACACGGAAGCCGCGTACAAGAACGAGATGCTTCCGACCGCGATTCCCGAGATTCAGCGCACGAACCTCGGCACGATTGTGCTGCAGCTCAAGGCCATGGGCATCAACGACCTCATGGGCTTTGCGTTCCTCGACCCGCCGCCCGTGCCGGCGCTCATTGCGGCCATGGAGAACCTGTATGCGCTCGGCGCGCTCGACGACGAAGGCCTCTTGACGCGTCTCGGGAAGAAGATGTCGGAGTTTCCCGTCGAGCCCAAGGACGCCAAAGTGCTCTTGACGAGCGTCGTGCTCGGCTGCTCGGACGAAGTGCTCACGATCATCTCGATGCTCGCGGTCGAGAATGTGTTTTTCCGTCCAAAAGAGAAGCAAGCGCAAGCCGACTCGAAGAAGGCCAAGTTCAACCAGCCCGAAGGCGACCAGCTCACGCTCCTCGCCGTGTACGAAGCATGGAAGCACTCCAAGTTTTCCAACCCGTGGTGCTTTGAGAACTTTATCCAAGCCCGCGCGATCCGCCGCGCGCTGGACGTCCGGAAGCAGCTGCTCTCGACCATGGACCGCTTCAAGATGGATGTGGTCTCGGCGGGCAAAAACTACAACAAGATTCGGCGCGCGATCGTGTCCGGGTACTTTGCCAACTCGGCGAAGAAGGATCCGCAGGAAGGGTACCGCACCATGGTGGAAGGCCAGCCCGTGTACATCCACCCGTCGTCGTCGCTCTTCAACAAGAACCCCGAGTGGGTCATCTACCAAGAACTCGTGCTCACGACCAAGGAGTACATGCGCAACGTCATGGCGATCGACCCCAAGTGGCTCGTCGAGCTTGCACCCGCCTTCTTCAAGAAGGGCGACCCGACCAAGATGACCAAGCAGAAGAAGGCGCAGAAGATCGAGCCGCTCCACGACCGCTTCAACCCGAAAGACTCGTGGCGTCTCAGCCAGCGCCGCGGTTAAGTCGGTCGTGTATATTTTTCATTTTCAATCTTTCAATCTTTCAACCTTCGACGCTTTCGCCAAACACAACCTCGCTGTCGCTAGCATTAGTAGATTCGGATGTTAAATGGCTAGTACTCCAAGATGGGGTCGCCGACGTTCTGAATGAGCGGGATGGTGCATTTGAGGTCAAAGACCTTGCTGAGCACGATCTTGAACACCTTCTGCACGTTCACCGAGTGCGACGCCGAGGTGAAGATCAGCGGCGCCTTCATGGCCTTTGCAAACTTGCGCGCCTAGTCATCTCGTTCCGAATCCGATCTTATAGCGGGTTTCGGACTTGTTTGGTGATGTCGTCTTGCTCTTCGGGTGAGAAGCTCGTCATGTGGTCGTACTTGGTGCCAACGAGGAACGGGAATGCATTCTATCATCACCATCATCATGAGGAGGAGGAGGAGGAAGCGGCGATGGAAAATGAACCTTGTTGATGGCGCGCACTTGGCGGTACCACTCTTTCACGCTCGTGAGCGTCGCCTTGCGCGAGAGGTCAAACATGAAGAGGACGGCGACCGCGTCGTTGCAGACAAGGGGCAGCATGCTAATGAACTCGCGGTGGCCGCCGAGGTCCCAGATGCTAAACGTGATTTCCGTGTTGCGGAGCGTGATAGTCTTCTCCATGAAGTTGACGCCGAGCGTGTGGATGTAGTCTTCGTCAAACTTGCCCTCGACGTACTTGACCATGAGCGACGTTTTGCCGACCTGCGCGTCGCCGACCATGCCGACCTTGACGACCACGTTGTTCCGGCCGGTGGGCACCGCCATGTTGAGGCCCATCTTGGCGTCCTCGCCCTCGTAGCGCTCTTCGTCCGCGTCTGTCGACATGGCTTGGCCTTTCGCTCTCTCGCTGCGATCTTGCCTCGCGTGTCATTGGGCGCACACTATTTACGTGGAATAATATAGTGTTGTAAAACTTGCCATATCGACACAGTATTTACGTAATTTTAGCATTTAGTGTGGACATACAAGCGCACTAACGATTAAGATTGGGTGTTGACTGTTGGGTGCATGGGGCTTTGCCGTACTAAAGCAAACACTATTCAAGTATTCAAGTGACGTGTCTGGATTGGCCAAAATGATGCCAATCAAAAGCCGTTTCATTGATAACACCCATGACGACGACGACGCTGTCGGCCGCCGAGCTGGAGATGAAGCTCATGGTCACCAAGACGCTGGAAGCGCAAGGTGTCCTAAGCCACATCAAGGTTTCTAGTCGATTCGAGTTGATGGTGTTCGACTAACTTGACAGGCGCAACTCCGAGCTGCTGTCATCAAGGCGCTGCACGACACGTCGCCGTCGCCGTCCATAAGCAAGGCGCACCTGCTCAAATCAACCGAGACGCATCTCGCGCTGTGTGTGATCGCCGAGTTTCTTCGGCAAATGGACCTCCACGAGACGCTCTCGGTCTTGTCGGCCGAAGTCGAGGTAGTCACCCGTGCTCTTCCTACTTGGTGAACTTGGCGCTCAATTGCATAGAGCCCGCTCTTGATGGACAGGCGGACGCTCGCCAAAGAGATTGGTGTGCCCGACGCCTCGGAGAAGATTGCTCTGCTTCTGACAGCGCTCGCCCCACGGGCGCCATCCAGTGTCAAGGTACCGTCGACAACTCATATTGCCGGCAATTCGCCCAGCTCTACCAGGACCCACCAAAGACGACGAGCGCCACAATGAGCGAGCGCGACGACGACGAGCCAGCACCGTCCTTTTTTTCTGCGATGCAAAAGCAGTCGCTGCCAGTGCGCTCGGCCGAGCCGCTCGGTCGATCCCTCGACGACGCCAAGGCTGCGACCACAGTGCTCAAGAACGAAGACGACGACGATGAAGTCGAGAGTGAGGTTGAAGTCTCTATCGGCGATGTGAGCGAATCGTTTGAAGACAGCAGCGCGTCCCGCGACCCGCCCAAGGTGCGAATGGCTGCCAACTACATGTAGCGCGAAGTTTCGTGTGCAGGCAACCGAGCAACCTAAACCGTCCCCAGCGACGCTCGAGACGTCCGACGACGAGTATACGTTCATCTCACAAGCCACGCCGCAATCCCGCATGTCGTCCCTGCCGCCTGTCGCGTCAAGCCAAAGCCGAGGCCGCTATGACGCCGACGAAGACAAGGACGACGACAAGGACGACGATGATGACGAGAAACCGTCAGTAGCGAGGCCGACCGTGACAAGTGCCACAGCGAGAGATGACGATGACGACGAAGGGAACGCTGCGGACGAAGTTGTTGCATCGACGCCGGCAAAAATCGTGATATGGTGCTCTGTAGGAAGCGCGTCTGTCGTCACTGGACGCGACGCTCAAGGCGATGGAAGCTGAAGACGAGACAGGGACGCTAAAGCAGCTCAAAGCCACGCTCCAGCACGAGCTCGACGTCAAGAGCGACGACGACCAGTACGGCAGTGACTTTGAAGAAGACTTTGACGCCGAAGAAGACATTGCCAGGTAGAAGCACATGTCTCTCGAGTGTTGTTTGTCATGCAAAATGGGGTAGTGACGTTGAGGACGACATGGACGCGTCCGTGGCCGAATCCCAAGACGAGGTACTTTTATGAGACATGAAGATAACTTTGACGACAGAGATATGACCCTAGTCGTTCCAAGCTCCGGCGTCCGACAAGCGCGTCCGGAGCACCGATGTGCTCGACGACTACGATTACGTCGAGACTGTTCAAAAGCCATAAGTGTTTAGTGGATTACTCATTGCTTCGCATTGTGGTTCTGCAAACTCTGACGCGAGATGATGCGCGGAAGTGGGTACTGAACCGTGTTGACCGTCTGCTTGTTCTTGGTGCGGTAGGCCTCCAGGAGCATCTCGGACGCCGGCGACAAGCCAAGGACGTGCCGACGGCAGCTGCCGTACGCTGCGTAGAGCAGCCAGAGACCTACGCACGGGTAAAAGATAAGTGCGTCGAGCGACGCCCGGCACTGCGGGTCCAACGTCAGTGCAAAGAGCGGGCAGTCGTCGCACAATACGGACCCTGGCGCTGCCGCGTACGTGTGCTTGGAGCAAGCAGCGCAGGCCGTGGACCCCGGCGACGACGTCACCGTGTTGATACTGCACGGGGTGCAACTCAGCGCACCTTGTGTCGCCGAGAACGACCCGGCGGGGCACCGATGGCAGTCGCCACGGGCCCAGAACGTGCCAGCCAGGCACGGCGCGGGCTGCATCGAGTCAAAAAAGCGCAAGAGGTCGATGGACGGGAGGACGTTGGGCCAGCCGTGCGGTTGCCACAGCAGTCGTAGGATCCACGCCACTTGCCCCGACGCGACAGGCAGCGCAATCGTGTCGAGCACATCGTCCAGTGTCAAGAGCGGCACGCACGATGTGAGCACGACGCGCACGCTGACGCTGTGGTTGCCAGCGTACTGTGTGCCCCGGGGTGCGAATTCGTTTTCGAGCACCGACAGGATGATTGGCGTGCACTGGAGCTCCAAGAACGTCCACGCAATGGCGACGAACGACGCAAGCTTCTGTGCGTTTGCATCGAGAAAGGACGCGTTCACGGGCAGCGTAAGCAGCAGCTGCGGCCACGACGTGTTCTGAAGGACGTGGCCCACCGATGGTATGGTGCACTGCACCGCACCCGGTAATGTCGATGTCGTGTTGGTGGGGCAGATCGCGCAGGAAGCTTGGCCGCTGCGGTCGGCAAAGGTACCTGGGACACAAAGATCCGGGCGTCGGGCGCCAGTGGACGCCATGCTAGTGCCCACGGGGGCGAGAAGGCAAGTGGTGCTGCCGCGACGAGGTGCGTATGTACCAAGACCGCAGAGCTCGCAGGTTCTTGCTTGATCGACGGCTATAGCGGTGCCCGATGCGCAGGCTTGACATGTCGCGAACGAGCCGTTGTTGAAGGTGCCAGCGGTGCACGGTGCGGTCGTGCTGCGGTTGACCCAGCCCCAGCCGCTGGGAGGCTGAGCAAGGCACTCTGCATTGCCAACGCCGTCGGCGACAAAACCGGTGGCGCATGGTAAGCACGACACGGAACCGACAGGCGCAAACGTCGACGACGGACACAGAGTGCACTGCGTCGTCCCGGGCGATGGAGCGGCAGCGCCGGCGGGGCACGGCACACACGTGCCGCCGTCCGAGGAAAAGGTCCCTGGCGGACACGGGACACAGGCGTCGGCCGTCAGCGTCGATGTCGTGCCAGGTGCGCACGGGCGACACGCCGGTGCGCCAGTGACAGACACTGAACCGAGTGCGCACGGTGTACACGCTGCGGCACCCGTTGCATTGGCAAACGTCCCAGAGGTACAGGGCGAGCAAGCGTCAGCACCGGGCGGCGAAAACGATCCGACGTCACAGACAGTACACGCTTGGTGGACGAGCCCATTCGAGTACGTGCCCGATGGACAGAGCGCGCAAGTGCCATCGGCCATGACGGCACTGCCGTCACCGCAGACGCATGCCATGTCACCCCAGTCGTGGCCCGGTAGGTCGGGCAGCGGGCAACTAAGGTTGGCGCCGAGCATGACAGCGTCCGCGGTGAGCAGCGGTGGCAGGCGCGGGAGTCGACCGTAAACGTGCGAGTTGTTGGCGATCGAAAAGTGCTCGAGAAGGTCCAAGTCGCCCAAATCGGAGGGCAAGCGCGTTGTGAGACGGTTGTTGCTCACGTCAAAGTACGTCAGCGCCGAGATCGAGTTGCTGTCGTGGCGGCCCCAGTCGCTGAGATCGGGTGGCAGCGGTCCGCTGAGTTGGTTGAAGGCAACATCAAAATGCTCCAAGCGGGGCAGGCGCGCTGTCGGGATCGGTCCGTCCAAGGCGTTGCCGCTCAGATCCAAGTACCGGAGCGTCGTGCTGTGTAGCAATGCTGGTGGCAGCGGTCCATGTAGCTTGTTGTTGCCGACGTCGAGCAGCTCCAACGGCGGGATCTCAAGCCCACGCGGGAGTGGGCCACGTAGAGCGTTGCCGGCGAGGCTGAGCTCCTGGAGCTTGGGCGCGTCGGCAATCGCGGCTGGCACATCCCCCGAGAGGTTGTTAAAGTTGAGGTTGAGGACTTCCAGGTCCGGCAGCAAGGGAACCCATGTCGGGACTGTCCCCGAGATCGTGTTGCCTTCCAAGTTCACGAGCTTTAGACGCGCGAACGCTGAAAAGTCCAGATCTAGCGTGTTGCACACCAGCGCTTGGTACGGCAGCGCGACGCCGACCACCGAGACAGGGTCCGTGAATGGGTCGCACGTGATGCCAAACCACGGGAAGCGGTGCGGAAGCGCGGCCAGCGTCGTTAAGTTGCTGGCCTCGAGCAGCCGCCCGGTGCACGGATGCGTCGTGACGTTGGCACCGCAGCGGCCATCGCCCGTGCACCACGTCTGAATGACCGCCGACGAGGGCTGCGTCGCGCACTTGTCGTAGAGCTGGACGAGCGCCGCGAGCTCCGCGTCGTCAAGCCGAAACAGCGGCGCGGCCATCGTCGTCGGCGCCAGGAGCCACGTCGCGAGTCGGCGCATGCGTCGGGCAAGCCAGAACCTGTAGAATGGCCCAGCGCACAATGTAAAGCCAACACAGGATTCTGCATGAGCGTGTAAAGGCCTAGCCGCTTCTGTATTCACCACAACGCCGCAATAGGATGTCTAGGTTGAGGCCGCTTGGGGCGGGTCCACCGGTGCGTCTTCGATCTTCTTGCCCAACAGGCGTTCGGCGAGCGCGCGGTCGGCAAATACTTCAGGGTGGATAAAGTAATGCTGGTCCTTGGCCTTGAAGTTGATCATCGGGTGGTTCGACACGTCGGGGGACGCGACGTCGCTTAGGAGGAACTCGGTCCGCTTCTTGCGCGCGAGGAGGTTGAGCGTCTCGACCGCGACCGTCTCGGAGCTGCGGTCGACCCACATGCGCAGTACGTACGGCTTGAAGAGAAAGTGGAAGAGCGACGTCGTACCAATGCCAAAGAACTAGCGTAGCAGATCGTTGTGGGTTCAAGGACGGGGCAAGGACGTACCATGACGGTGCCGCACATGGCCCACTAGACGCGCAGTGACGACATCAGATCCTGCTGTATATGGCTAAGACGAACGTACCTGGCCAACGAGCGACGCCGTGACGTTGCCGTAGTAGCAGCCGGCGGGCATGCCCACGCTCGTGAGCACGCAGGACGTGATGGACACTGCCTTCATGGTCGTCACGGGCTTGATGAGCGGCGCTTCGTACACGAGCTCAAACTTCTTCTCTTCGGGCGCAGCGCTAAAGAAGCGGGTGGGCGCATGGAGTGCGGCCTTGGGCAGGCGCAGCGCCGACGGCGCAACGCGGAGACGCAGCAGCATCATGATCAGTGGTGGTGAAGTAGGAAAGCGCACTTGAGCGGATACCTGGTGGGGCCAAGAAATGTCTGCATACAAAAATCAAATACAAGAGTAGGGGGACCCATTCAAAGTAAACACTGTTTCAAATTCTGTTTGAGAATGTTCCGAGACTGAGGCCGAGACCGAACAGCGCAGCGCCGAGCGGGTCAGAACGCTGCGCGTTTGGACCATGAGTACACTAGTACTATTGCACAAAGGGGTGTCATATTTTGAGCAAACTTGCATATACCTGAAGCAGGGAAATGAGGTTGCGTGGGCGACTTACGACTGTGAGTTGCTTCGACCAAGACGCTCGAACGTTGATGTCGTCGGCGCATCGCGCATATTTTGCAGCCTACTCTGCCTCGAAGCGTTAATTGCGAGGTATTGAACACACATTGCTGTTTATGTAGCAAAAACATCCTCGAAGTTGGTATAAATAATTTCTGAGGCCATTGTTGTGGATGTGCTGGATGAAACGGCCAGCATTTGCATGACGTGGCAGCCTCTTGTCACAGCGTATCCTGATTATGAGGTCCAGCACATGACGTCTGAGCTCGCTGACAAGCGGTGAGGGGTGGATCCGATGGCTGTGCTGTGTTGCTTTGGCATGAATAGCCAAGTACGATATCTCAGGCACGAACTCCGCTGTGCAAGCACCAACACGGCGTCCTCATACCACAAGCTTCGAAATTGCAAAAAGCATCAGTACAGCGAATCATATCGAGCTGCAACGGATGCGAGGTGATTGACGGCTTGGTAAAGGCGCTTCAAAGCGGTGGCGAGGTTGTGATTGTGACGTTTTTCCTGCGTATCCAACGGCAATAGTGTGCACTGGATTGGTCTTTCCAAACCGTCAGGCCTTCCCGCAACGATGAAGGGAAAACATTAGCCACCGCCACGAGACCGTTCTCTGCGAATAGATAACATTAGATGAGCCATTGTTGAAGCTAGCGTGTTTCGTGTTTGGTTTCGGAGCCGCACGGGCTATCGCCAAGATGGAATCCGTGTTGCCTCCAAGATGTATAGTTGACTGGCTTTGGTGGTTGCTTGCAGAGCGTATTCGAGCGTAGATGCCGAGATCTCGAGCATCAGCGATATCGGACGTCGCCTTGTAAAGGCTGCGAGGTAAAAGCTAGATGGAAGTGGGAAAAACCTGCCAAAGTGTTTTTACGACAAGCGCAATGGCATCGCGACATTATCGAAAACACCATGCTCTACAACAGCCAGTACATCCAAGACAAGGAGGCCAAGCGCCGCGCGCGCGAAGAACAGCTCTTCCGCGAGACCTACCCCGCTCTCTACGCCACCGAGCAGCGCCGCAAGGCCAAGGAAGCACGCACAGCGGCCAAGCTGGTGTCGAGCCCCAAGCCGCAGCCCAAGAAGACACCTGTGGTCCGGCCCGCAACCAAGCTGGTGGCCAAGGCGACCAAGCCGGTGGTCGACCATCGCAAGAAGGCAGCCGCCGCTGCTACCACAACGCCAGTGCCAGTGCGCTCGACTGCGCCTGTTCCGAAGGCTGCAACGCCACTCGAGATTGCACAAGCCCGGATCACAGAGCTCACGACGAAGCTCGCTGTGGCCCAGCGGACCATTGACGAGCAACACGCCACCATTGCACGTCTCCAACAAGCCACCGAACCTACGACGAAGACCCTCGACGACGCAACAGACAGCATTCCAAGCACCTCGATGACATTGGCGCCAACACTTGTGGCTGATTCAGCCGCCGCCCAAGCTGACACCGACGCACAGAGCTCCGAAAGCAAGTCGCCAATGGCGCTCATGCAGCAAGCGATTCTTCAGCAAGCTCCTAGTCTGCACCGCATTCCTCGGACAGGCAACTTCCTGCACGCGCCGCCGCTGCTCTGGACACCAGACGAGCGCGTTGCAGCGATCGATACGCTGGTCCGCGCCATCACAGCGATCGAGACGGGGCAGCCGATGGTTCACGAGCCATACTTGGTCCTCGCACCTTGTCCTCCGGGGCGACGGGACGTGGCGCTCGAGTACGAAGAGACCTTGCTGCGCGGGTTGCTGGCGAGAGCTCATGAGTTAGGCCTTCTATAGGTAGAGTACACGTAACATAATTAGTACAGTTTCCATTCAAATCCAAGCAAGCGATTACACGCGATTAATTTGAGGTTTGAGAGTACATTGTTGAAAGTTGGGTAAATCCAGTCGTTGGCACTGTTTGCGCAGGTACATTACTGTGGTCCTGGGCTGTCGTTCTTGCTGGACTGCGGCGCCGCCACGCGTCGGGTGGCTGCCGACCGTGCACGACAGAACTTGCCCGCTCCAAGCAGAAGCTCGGACCAAGCACGTCATTGCAGTCGAAATCATTGCCCCTTTGGCACCACTACGTTGAAGCAGCATCGACTACTAAACGCTGGATTTCTACCTTGAATGATGGTCACCATCTGGCCCTTATGTCGGCAGTGGGTGCTGCCGTCAAGCGATACTACTGATACTCTGGTACTAGCTCTCTGTACTCCAGATTTATAAAGTGTGCGAGCATCTCTCTCTTTCCAAGGTACACGATCGTCGCTGCTTGGCGCCGGTCGGCGTCCACCTTCCGAGCTCTGGTACGCGCCACGGTAAAGATCGGTGCTGTGTCGCACACATGGCTTGTGCCACCGGGAAAATTCCGGCTTTTGGCCGGTCCGCAACCAAGTTCATTTTCAGATTTGCTTCAAGATGACCTCGTCGACCAAGCTTCGCGCCGGCCTTGTGGGTTTTGGCACCGCCGCCCAGTTCTTCCACATGCCGCTGCTGCTCTCGAGCGGCCGCTTTGAGATCACGCACGTCATGGAACGCTCCAAATCGCTCAGCCGCGACGCGCTGCCGTCGGCGACCATCGTGCGCTCGATGGCCGACCTCGTCGCGGCGCCGATCGACGTGGTCGTGATTGCGACGCCGACAAACTTGCACTTTGAACAGGCCAAGATTGCGCTCGAGGCTAAGAAGCACGTGGTTGTCGACAAGCCCATGTGCGTCACATCGGCCGAAGCGAGCGTCCTCATCGAGACGGCCCGCGCCAACAGCGTTGTCCTGACCGTCTTCCAGAACCGCCGGTGGGACTCGGACTTTCTCACGGTGCGCAAGCTGCTCGAGAGCAAGACGCTCGGGGACCTCTCGCACTTTGAGGCCCACTTTGACCGCTTCCGCCCGTCGCTCAAGGGTAACTGGAAGGAGAGCGCGGACGTCGGTGGCGGCGGCCTTCTCTACGACCTCGGTGCGCATCTCGTCGACCAAATGCTGACGCTCTTTGGCCCACCGACGAGTATTTCGTGTACGCATCTCGCTAAGTGTCGACCATGGAGCTCATGTCTTGAATATATGGTTAGCTGACGTCCAGAGCCAGCGCGAAGGCTGCAGCAACGACGACTACTTCCGCCTCGAGTGTCAATACCCGGGCTTGCTCGTCGTGCTCACGGCGGGTATGCTCGTCGAGAACCCGACGCCCAAGTATACGATCCGCGGCGCGAATGGCTCGTTCATCAAGTATGGCGAGGACGGGCAAGAGACCGCGCTGCGTGCGGGGCGGACGCCCTTGACCGACGGCGACAGCTGGGGCCACGAACCAGAGGCGCACTACGGCGTCCTTAAGCGTCCCGGCCAGCCGGACGAGCGCGTCGTGAGCGAGCCGGGCAACTACAGCGCCTACTACATTGGCCTCGCCGACACGATCCAGCACGGTGCGGCGCGGCTCGTGCACCCCGAAGAGTCGGCAGCCGGCATTGCGATCCTCGAGAAGGCCAAGGCAGCGTTCTTGGTCGCGCAGGCGTAAGACTGTGCGACAATAAATAATCTAATACTCTGAAAACAAACTAGTTATCGGTTAAACTTAGTTGGTGCTATCCGAGCGGGCTTCGAGCAATGAGCTCAACTCGTGCATCTATCGAATGCCAAAAATCTCAGCCGTTGGACGCAAGGTTAGTAGGAATACCTTGGCGACGGCGACTTCGAGCAGTTGACGATACGTGGCATTGTCAGCGCGAAGCTGCTCGATTTCTCGCTGCAACTATCGCAGCCATGAAAACGATGTGTCCACGCCGTCGTTCAAAAGCTACCGCGTCCAACTCGTGCTTGGGTACGGTTTCAGCTGTCGGCTCCTCGCTGAAAAAGCATCAGCATCTCGTAGAGCTTGGACCACTCGTCACGTACGTGTCTTCCTCGTCCATGCTGTTGTTGTTGTTGTTGTCATCGTCCAGATCCTCCTCTCGACCGTCGGCATCGACGCTGCTTGCAACGTCGGGACGCGCGATGCTGGGCACGGACACGAGACGAACCAAATGGTTGCCCGAATCGCACACGCCAAGAAGCACTTGATCTGGTTTCGCATACCGTCCTTGGAGCGTGCACACGCCTTTGGGCAAGAGAAAGGGCGGCTCGACGCCTTTGGAAAACACTTGGCTCGGCGCAAAGCTCTCGATCGTCACGGTGCGCACCCAGCTGTAGTAGCACCGGTCGTGGCTTCGAACGACGCCGCCGAGTTGACGCAGGCAGTTGTTGCCCTTGTCGGCGACAAAGATCGACTCGTCCGGCGCGACGCAGAGACCCACGGGTTGGTTGAAGAGGGCGCTGTCGCACGCGCCGTTGATATGGCCGCTCTTGGGCTGCCCCGCCAGTGTCTCGACAATCCACGCGCCAGCGTCTTCAGACCACGTCAAGACGCGGACGCAGTGGTTGAACGTATCGGCAACAAAGACTTCACCGAGAGGCCCGAGCGCGAGACCACTGGGGCCGCGAAAGAGGGCCGTGGGCCCAACGCCATCCGCGTAGCCGGGCAGTGGGGTGTTGGACGACGCCGACGACCGCCGCCCCACCACTGGGTTGGGACCAAGCGCGCGCGCGCCGCCCGCGATCGTACGCACACACCACTGCCCGTGCGTCCGGTGGATCGACCGAATGCAATGGTTGCCCGTGTCAGCGACAAGAACGCTATGGTCCGCCAGCACGACAAGACTCGACGGGTGGTGGAATGCGCTACTCGCCGCGAGACCATCGACAAGCCCTTTCCGCCCCGAACCCGCAAAGACGCCAAAGTCCATGTCCTCCAGGAATGCGTCGGGAAGGAGACCAACCTTGATCATGTGGTGGCCGGTATCGCAGACGTACAAGAGCGTGGCGTCGAGTCCCAGGCCGCGCGGCGCCAGGAAGGACGAGTTGCGCAGGGCGTGGACGCGGAACCCGCCCTTGTCGTCATGCGCCGCGAACCGCAGCGTGTTGCTCTACGAATACGAGAGAATAAGGTGGTGACAGAGCGTAGCGTAGTACTTGGCAGTCGGAGACGACGAGGGTGCCATCAATCAAGCAACCGAGAGCGATGGGCGTGTTGAAGGTGGCGACGGTGGCCTTGCCGTCGCCGCAGCCGCGCTGGCCGCTGCCGCAGAGCACACGCGTTGCATCACGTACCGTCTCGCTCCGGCGGCGACCACCGCTGGCATGGCTGTGCCTCTGGCATGGTCGGTGCTGCATCGCAACGGTTCCCAAATGCGACAATGTGATTGGTCCCTTTGCGATCTTTTTGTGGCGCCTGTCCAGGACTTCCAAGCAAGTGCTCCGAAGCTTTCCGGTCGGTCGCATCATTCTTGCACTGGCTCCGCTATTTGCTCGTTGAGTTTGCGATCTCAGGGTTGAGACCTCGCGACCTCGAGCAGTGACGACGAGTGATACACACGCATGATACCACGGATCTAATCCAGCGAGGATCCTCACAAACCGCGCAGCACTGGTACATCCATGCAGCAAGTCGCAACGTCCGGTCGAAAGCTTACGTAACGTTAGTGGAAGTGGAGGCATCACTGACCACTCACTCTCTTCTGATGAGTCTCGCCCTTGGCCTCTCTATCATCAGCCGGATCCAAATGAACCGGATCGTTGCCAGCCTACCACAGGCACCAGCTGGCTGCTCTCTCCACATGACACTAGCACCCACCGAGCGTCGTACCAAGGCAACGAGGTGTCGCTTTCCCAGCCCAGCTCCAACCGCGCGATACCGAGCTTCTACTTGCGGTGACGAATACAGGGCAACGTTATTGCGCCAATATCGATCAACAATTTCGAGGCGCAGCATTACCGGTACCTGGTGGCCAAACGAAGCGCCAAATGATCGGTGTAACACACGGACCAGGTGGTGCGGTTGTGAAGCTCCTTAGCCAGATTGCCTTTTCCGTTGCCCTGCATGCACATCGCCGCCGCCGTCGCGTCGCTACTCCTGGCGCCCGCCGCCGCCGCGTCGTACCGCAACGTCGCGTACTTTACCGAGTGGGCGCCCGAGATGTTCAACTACAACGTCAACGCGCTCGACGGCAGCCGGCTCACGCACATCAACTACGCGTTCGCGCTGCCCGAAGCCGACGGCAGCCTCCGCTTCACCAACGCGTCGGCGGCGTTTGGCTCGGCCGTCGGTGATCCGACGTCGCTTCAAGGCAACTTTGGCCAGCTCATCGCCTTCAAGCGGGCGAACCGCCAGACCAAAGTGTCGCTCTCGATCGGCGGCTGGGGCAACGGCGACGCCTTCCCCGGCATTGCCGCGTCGCCCTCGCTCCGCGCCACCTTTATCGCCAACGTTCTCGATGTGCTCGTCAACCTCGGCCTCGACGGCGTCGACTTGGACTGGGAGTACCCGACGGGCGCCACCGACACGGCCAACTTTACCACGCTCATGCGCGAACTCAAGGCGGCGCTCAACCAGCTGTCCTTCCGCGCCGAGCTTACGTTTGCGGCGCCCGGCTTTGACAATGATTTGGGGCCGCACCTCGCAACGCTCTGCACCATCGTCGACGCCATCAACCTCATGACGTACTACACTCGATGCGATGTGTGCACTAAAATCGACTGTAGGTATGACTTTTCCGGGTCGTGGAGCCGCGTGTCCGGGTACTCGGCCAACTTGTATACGGACGCCAAGGCGCCGGGCGACATGAAGCTCTCGGTAGATGCTGCGGTTCAGTACTATCTCCAGAAAGGTTGTCCTGGCACCAAGCTCGTCATGGGTCTTCCGCTCTACGGCACGTCGTTTGAGAACACGCCCGGACTCTACCAGTCGTTTGCGACGCCGACCGTCGGTGACAACGGCGCCGCTGGCTCGTGGCGCTATAAGAGTCTTCCGCTGGCCGGCACGACCGAGCAAGTCGACACGACGACGATGGCTACGTACTCGTACAACCCGTCGACCAAGATGTTGATCACGTAAGCATCCATCTCGCCAAGGATGGACAAGTTGTCTGACATCGAAATGTAGGTACGACGGCCCGGCTACGATTGCTGCCAAAATGCAGTACGTTCAAAAGTACAAGCTCGCCGGCGCCATGTTCTGGGACGCATCCGGTGACGCGGACGCGGGCTCCGCGCGGTCGCTCGTCTCGGCGGTCGTCTCGAACCTCGGCGCTGGCAACATGGACAGCGCGCAAAACACCATTACGTACCCGACGTCGATCTACTCGAACGTTCGCAACGACGGTCGCCCGACGCTGCAGCTCTACACGTCCCGCGGCCTCGCGATTTCCGAGTGGAACGGCATGCTGTACGCCAACACGCCCCGGCACAACCTCAACGAGCGCTTCGAGTATGACGCGACGACGTATCTCCTCAAGTCGCTCAGCGGCAACGCCTGCCTCGACGCCTACCCTGATGTGTCCAAAGCGGCGGGCTATGCGCTTCATACGTGGAGCTGCGACGCGTCGAATGGCAATCAGAAATGGAAGATCGACGCCCAAAACCACCGACTCGTGCATGCAACGCACCCGAATCTGTGCGTCGACGTCGACCCGAATGACGCGTCGCACGGAGTGCAGGTCTGGCAGTGCCACGCGCTCAACAACCTCAACGCCAACCAGTGGATTGGTCTCCCGACCGAGCGCGTCACGATCGCCAACAAGCAGCGCGTGCTCGCGGGCAACGCCGATGCTGGCACCGTCGCGTTTGCTGATAGCACCAACCAGCACTGGATCGTCGATAACGTGCACCAGACGGTCGCGCTGAGCACGACCGGTCTCTGCCTCGATGCGTACCAGGGCTGGAACGGCGGGGCGGTTCACCTCTATTCGTGCAGCCAGAGCAACACCAATCAGAAGTGGACGTACGACAGCGCGACGCAGCAACTGCGCCACGTCAAATTCTCTGGCTTTTGCCTAGACATGGGTAGCGCGTCTGGTACCAACCCGCATCTGTGGTCATGCCACGCCGCCAACAGCCCGTACATCGGCCTCCAGCAGTTTACCTACGCGTCGGTCGACTATCCCTTTATGAACTAAGTTCATCCTACCATCCTACTACAGACCTGCAATCGCAGCGGGTTGAATACAAGTACTTTCCTTCGATGTCGTTGATATGTCGTTCCGTGGCGGCAAGTACCCAGGCAGGTCTTGGATTGCCCAGAGGCTGTTATGCGCTCTGAGAGTGCCACGTATTTTTGTGCGCTCCGAGCGTGCCACGTATTTTCCGATATTATTTTGGGTGGCGCTATTTCTGTCGCCTGCGTGAGCGTGATCAAGGGTCCATAAAAAGCTTATCGCCATGAGCACGACCGAGGCGTCGCTCTCGATGAGCGACTGGGTCGTTCGGGGCTTCGGGATCACGGCACTCGTGGCGCTCTCGGCGGTCTTTTCGGGCCTCACGCTCGGGCTCATGTCGCTCGACAAGATTGGGCTCGAAGTCGTCATTGGCGCGGGCGAAGACGAGGGTGCGACGCCAACAGAGAAGCGCCATGCCGCCGCCGCGCGCAAGATTGCACCGATCCGAAAGAACGGCAACCTTCTTCTCACGACCCTTCTGCTTGGCAACGTGGCCGTCAACTCGCTGCTCTCGATCCTTCTCGCCGACCTCACGAGCGGTACTTACGCTCACGTTTCTTTTGTAATCAGGCGGGTGGGGTAGGTCTTCTTGGCTTTCTTGTGTCGACAGCGCTCATCGTCCTCGTTGGCGAAGTCATTCCGCAAGCTGCGTGCTCCCGCCACGCGCTCGGTACACTTGCGATTCTAATTCCAAGTGAAAATGACGGGTCCTTTCGTAGCCATCGGTGCCAAGTCGGTGCCGTTCGTTAAACTGATCATTGCGCTCTTCTACGTTCTGGCCAAGCCCGTGAGCGCCGTCTTGGACGCGCTTCTCGGTCAAGAAGTCGGCACGCTCTTCACCAAGCGAGAGGTGGGTCCGTTCCGTCATCGCTCTTGACGAGCGTCGACCGTGTAGCTCTGGAAGATGCTCGACATTCACGTCAAGCGCGACTTGATTGACGACGATGAAAGCTGGATCATGTACGGCGCGCTGCACTACAAGAGCCAACCCGTGAGCGCGATCTTGACGCGCATTAATGATGTGTACATGCTGCCATCGACAGCGCTCCTCGACCGAAGTACGCTGCGGGACATTTACGCCAAGGGGTTTAGCCGCGTGCCAGTCTACGGCCGCTCGCGCAACGACGTGCTTGGGCTGCTGTTCATCAAGGACCTCGTGTTTGTCGACCCGAATGTATGCTTTCTCTATCCAATGACATATGTGTACACGAATACTAGGAGCCGATTTCGGCGCTGCACTTTGTTCATATTTTCGGCCGTGGTATTCACCGCGTCTGGCCCGATACGAACCTCGGGGACCTTCTCAAGGCCTTCAAGATGGGCCATTCGCGCCTCGCCTTGGTGCAAGATGTCAACAATGCGGGCGACGGCGACCCGTTCCTGGAAGCTGTCGGCGTCGTCTCGCTGGAAGACGTGATTGAGGAGATTTTGCAAGATACGTTTCGCAGCGAAGGCGATGTCAGCGGTATCAAAGGCTGTCAACAGACAAAAAGACAATTTTTTCCATATTTGTAGACGGGCGCAACAAGACCATGGCGTGCCGCGACGTCGATCCTTCCGCGATCCGTCGACTGCGCGTCGGCTCATCCGACGACGTTCTCGATGACGACGACGACGATGACATGTACTTGACGGTGGAGGAAGCCAAGGACTTGGCAACCCACCTCGTGGCCAACCAACCAGTCTTTCAGCTGCGGAAATCTGGCGGTGAATCTGAAATCTGCGTTGTGGACGGCGCCAGATTCAAGTGTGGTAGGCGACGCACTGACCATGGACGATGTGAGCAGTCTCTTGATGAAGTGCCGCCTCGTCGAATATGGCCGCGAGACGGCCCTCGGTGTCCGCATGTACTCGCCGTCGCAGGTCGCAAATCACTGCGTTGTTGTGATGGAGGGTTGCGTCAAGGTCACAACCGGACGCCACGGTGCGCGCCAGTGCCTTTTCTGCTCTTGGGTAATAAACTGACAGGCAAGTGTAGGGCTGGCGATTGAAATGGACGTCTGGTCGGTCCTCGGTGCCGAGAGCCTTGTCGTGCCGGCCAACACACACGTCCCGGACTTTACCGCGGTCGTGCCTAGTCGGTGTGGGAAGATTCTCTGCTTGCAGATCACCCACGTCGACTTTCAGCACATGCTGCACCCGAATGTGAGCTTGCACCCGCGTCTTGTCAAGGCCACGTCGACCCCCCGCGTGCGGTCGAAGCGCTTTGCGTCGCCCAAGCACACGGCTCAAATCCATCCGGTGACTGCCCCAGCGCCCATTCCTAGCGACGAAGTCAAAGTGAGTCTTCTTCAGGCCGACAGCATGGACGAGATGCAAATCGCGTTCGAGTGAGGACGCTTCTTTGAATACACTTAGACTCCACAACATAGACACCACTTTTGTTTGAAACGGGTTGGGAAAGAATACATGGCGTGGGTGGCGGGCGAAATGACGTGGCAAGCGCAGGGCGTAGAGCCGGTGTAACTTGAAGTTGGAGATTCACGCGACCAGAAGATTCGAGGGAGCGGCAACCTCGGACTTGGTGCGTCATGGATCCTGGGTACATGACGCTTCATCACAACCGTACAATTGTAGGAGCAGTCAGTGCACGTGCTTCCAGACTCCTTAAACATGGGCACAAGAGCTCCACTCGCCTCGCATAGTGCTTCGGGTATCTCGAGCGCATTTTTCTTTGCTGTGGCAGAACAAGCTGCGTTCGTACACCGATCCTCTTCAATTGCAGTACCGTAGTAGCATCAACCACTGCCGCCTGTGCTGACCAGAACTCGCGATTTGCTCCGAAAGTCCCGCGTGGCAACAGCTCGCACCGTGCCCGTAGGTGATGGACCTGTAAGTACTCGTCGTACTCAGATGCGATGTCGCAAAAATCGTACGACCGTGTCCCTCCTTCGTGCGACGCGGCGGTCGTCGCATGGACCTGGCGGCTCAAGCCTCGTTGAATGGGCTTGTTCAGTGGGGCTCGTTGGTTTCCTGCAGCCCATCTATGTACTACTGTGCACCGTGATTGCTCTGGCGCACACTCCGCGACCGACAAATGACACAACCGGGGGTATTTCGAAAAACCTCCGACAAAAGCGGGTGCTTCAAGGAAACCTCATGTCAAGTTTCCTGCACACGGCCTTCGATGTCGATGCCACCGCGTCCGTTCGAGCGCCGGCTGCAAGCATGCAACCATTGCGCGCGGGCGACGCACCCTGGCCTTCTGCCGGCACGAGCGAATAAGATGATGACGACGTCATTGCACTTGCGACCTTTTCATTGCATTTTCGAGACTCCCTCGGTTTACGAACCTCTTCCATACTTTGGCACCTGTTCTTCCAGCATCTGATCTTGCTCTTCCGCCATTTTGCATTTGCCCCGTCGATGGACACCGCTTCGAAATGTGGCAGCGCCGATAGTACCAGTAGCTGGAGCGACCTCGAATGGACGCTGCGCATCGGGTCTATCGTGCTCCTCACGTGCCTCGCCGCGCTCTTTGCCGGCCTCACGCTCGGCTACATGTCGCTCGACACCAACGGGCTGCAGATTGTCATTGACGCCGGCGACGACCCGGACGCGACACCCGAAGAGAAGAAGAACGCAGCGTACGCGCGCAAGATCGCGCCGATCCGCAAGGACGGCCACCTCCTTCTGACGACGATGCTGTACGGCAACGTCGGCATCAACTCGATAATGGCCATCGCGATGGCCGACATGACCAACGGTCCGTCCTTTCTGGCTGCTAATAAGTTCTGACGTATACGGATAGGAGTCATCGGGTTTCTCTTGACGACGGTGATCCTCGTCATCTTTGGCGAACTCATTCCACAAGCCCTCTGCTCGCGCCACCCGCTGTGTACGCTTCTGCCACTGCCGATTGTGGGGCTCATGGATACGATCTTATTCGGTAGCCATTGGCGGCAAGTCGGTGCCGATCGTCAAGTTCTTCATGGTCATCTTCTACATCGCGGCGCGGCCCGTTGCATCGATCCTCGACTACTGCATTGGCCATGAGATTGGCGCTGTCTACTCGCGCACCGAGGTTCGTCGTTCTTTCAATGTATCGAGTGGACCGCACATGCGTTGCAGATGTCCAAGATGCTCGAGATCCACGTCAAGCAGAAGATGCTCGATGCGGACGAGACCGACATCATGAAGGGTGCAACAACTTGTCTATGCTTATGATAACTAATGTCGTCAACTAGGTGCCATGTATTTCAAGCGCAAGGCCGTCGCGTCCGTCATGACGCCAATCGACCGCGTCTACATGCTGCCCGTGACCACAGTCCTCGACTTGGAGACGATCAAGATGATCTACCACACAGGCTACAGCCGCATTCCAGTCTACGGGAAGGACCGAAACGACGTCGTCGGGCTCATCTTTGTCAAAGACCTTATCTTCGCCGACCCGGATGTACTCTGTCCTCTGTCTTCGCAAGCAATGACAAAGTGTGCTTCCTAGGAAAAAACAACGCTGCTCAACTTTGTCCACGTCTTTGGCCGCGGTGTGCACCGCGTGTGGCCCGACTCGACGCTCGGTGAAGTCATGCAGGCGTTCAAGGCCGGCCGGACGCACTTGGCGCTCGTCCATGACGTCAACAACGACGGTCCGGTACGTCATATGACGTCATTGGACAAATTGTCCTATCGATGCTAGGGCGATCCGTATTACGAGACCAAGGGCGTCGTGACGCTGGAAGACATTGTCGAAGAGATCCTCCAAGATAAGATCTATGACGAGAGTGATGAGATTGGTATGACACCGTGACCGTCGCAGACTCATAAAGAAGATGGCGATAGACCCGGAGACGCACCGCAAGAACCGTCTCTCGCACCGCAGCTACGACCCGGGCATGTCGCACCTCTTGGAGGGCAAGCAAGAAGTCAAGTACCTCGCGCGCCCCGAGGTGCATTTTGCTTTATCCGAGGACAACTTGTCTCACGGTGCTCCCGTAGGCGGAAGCCCTGGCCAAGCACCTCGTGGCCAACGACCCCGTCTTCTCGACCGTCGACAACAACAGTACGTACCTCCTCTGATCCAAGCCTTTGCTCAAGTAAACACGCAGACACGCCGCTGAGCGAGTCGCATTTGGCGGCGCTCATTCTGACCAAGTGCCCCGTGCTCGAGTTTCACACGTCGGACGCGCCCCACGCCGACCTCTTTGTCGAGCACAAGGTCACCAACCACGCGCTCATCGTGCTCCACGGCCACGTGCGCGTCACCGCCCGTACTCGCCGCCTCCCCAAAGATACATTGGCTCATGTCTCTGGTGGTGTAGACGATGGCGAGGTCACGACCGCCGGTCTCTGGTCGGTGCACGGCGCCAACGCGCTTCTGGTGCCCGATGGCTCGTACGAGTCGGACATCACAGTCGAAGTACCTTCCGACGTCTACGTGCGCTGTCTGCGCATCTCGCACTTGGACTTCCAAGCCACCTTGTACCCGATGCAAATCGCGAGCGACGCCAGCGTCCTCCAGCTGCGCCGCGTCGAAATCAAGAAACCCCGCGTGCACAAGTCGTACCACGCCACCGACGACCTCGAGATGGCGCTGCCGAGCCCAGCGCCCTTCCGCGGGTTTGCGACCGACCT